GCTCTTGCGGTCTTGTTTTTAATCTAGTTTTATTGTTGTATTGCCTGCAACTGGTTTTGCAGTAGGTTTTAATAGCATTTTGTACTCTGGTTGGAGTCATTTTGTGTGAGGTTTGTGATGGATGGATGGATGGATGGATGGAAGGAAATGGGTGGATGGGAGAGAGAGGGAGGAAGGGAGGGAAGGAAGGAAGGAAAAGAGGGAAAGAAGAATAAAAAGGAAATGGGAAAAGGAAGGAGAGAAGAGAACGACAGCAGGTAGAAGAAAAAAGGAAAAGTGTGGAAGAAAGCAAGAAGCGAAGAAGGAAGAGAAAGAGAAGGAAGAATAATACAAGGTGGAATGAGGGAGGAAGGAAGGAAAGAAAGAAGGAAGGAAGGGAAGGGAAGGGAGAAATGGGTGGATGGGAGGGAGGGAAGAAAAAAGGAATAAAAGAAGGAAAGGAAGGAAATGGGAAAAGGAAGAAGGGCAGCAGGTACAAGAAAAAAGGAAAATTGTGAAAGAAAGCAAAATAAGGGAAAAAGAAGAGAAAGAGAAGGAAGAATAGATAATACAAGTGGAATGAGGAAGGAAGGAAGGAAGGAGGAAGGAAAGAGGATGGATGGAAGGAAGGGGCAAAACACATACAGAGAGATTGAGAAAGAGAAAGGAAGAGAGAAATATCACTTATATCTACTGCATTTCCTTTAGAATTCAACATTTGGAGAAGAGAAGGCCCAATCCATAACTCACCTTATGTGGTGGCTAACCTTTTTGGGCTCCTGTGCCAAAAATTGTGCGTGCGCTTGCATGATCACACTCGCGTGCCAGCACCCAGAAGGCAATGCGTGCCCCATGCCCCCTACGCATCATGCATAATCCCCACCCACCCACCTACCCGCTGCCGCCCCCTTACCTGCACTGCGCCTCAGTTGATTTTCAGCCGGTTTGAGGCCTTTTTCGACCTCCCAGAGGCTTGAGGGAGGCTTCAGCAGGCTTTGCAGGCCGAAAACTAGGCCCATTTTGTCACTTCCGGTATTTCCAGAAAAACGGAAAATGACGAAACAGGCCTAGTTTTCAGCCTGCAAGGCCTGCAGAAGCCTTCCTCAAGCCTTTGGGAGGCCGAAAAAGGCCTCAAACCGGCCGAAAATCAGCTGTGAGGTAAACACGTGTGCAATGAGGAAGTCTGCCTACAGCTCATGTGCCGGCACAAATGGCCCTGTGTGCCACCCTGGATGTAGGAAATGACTCTGATGGTCATTTGGAAAAGTACTTTCTCAGTGAGCACCTCGAAGCCAAGAGGAACGAACACACGCGCCAAACTTCAAGTTTGCAGGCTTGACGGTTTTGGAGATTGTGATGATGCGTGAGGGGTACTTCGCTTTTACATAAGAGAGATTATACGCCTTGAACTAAGGCCACAAAATGACGAGGGAAAACGATCACTGTGAGGCAGCCTGGGACAAGAGCTACGGCACAGAACTTTATCGAGAATGAAGGGCACCAGAACTTCACCCTGCGGGAGAACATCTGGCCAACATCTGGATCCGTTGCCAGTGAAGGCTTTTGGGCTGGCTGCCCTGGATCATTCAGCATTCCCCTTTTCCGGTTCCTCAACGGGCCTTAATTTAAGGGAAGGATTGGGGTGATTTTCTACCCCAATTGTTCACCACCACCACCCCTCAACCTGGGTCAACCACTTTGATGGGAAGAGAAGAAGGATGCTGCGGTTGCTAGGCACCCAGCAGTCACCTAGCAACTGTCGGTAGTGGGAACAGAGGACCAGGTCAACCTACATCCTTCTCTCTTGGAGAAGATGTGGGTGCAGGGGGGGCTTCCCCCCCCCCGCTTATTGTGGCTTTACTACCTTGAGTTTATGACGTTGCCAGTTGTGGTCACAGCAAGACACGATGGTGCCCAAAAGGCAGCCGTCGTAAGTCGAGGATTACCTGTCTGGGCTTGTTATGGGTATCGCAGACCTTGCAAAATCAGAACTAGAAACGGTATACAGGAAAATCCTTGACTTACAACCATTGCTTCTGGTGACCATTTGACGTTACAAAGGCACGGAAAACAGTAACTTATGGCCGTTTTTCATGCTTACAACTGTTGAAGCATCCCTAGGGTCAGCTGAGCCAGCCAGCATGCTTTAAGGTGGGGAGGGGGAGGACTCCAAGTCCCAGAATCCCCCAGCCAGCCTGCTTTGAGAAGGATACAGCCTAACTCCTAGAACTCCCCAACCAGCATATTTGAAGATGGATGAACTTCAACTCCCGGAATCTCTCTGCCACAGGAAATCCACACATCTTTTTTTAAAAAAAAAAGTTTTTTATTTTAACAACAAACAAAACCACATAAAACATACAACATAAACCATAAAAACATCATCCTCCTTCATAAATTTACAAACCGTGTATTGGTTGGTTTACCACTTTTTTTGTGTGCATCCGTTTCCTAAACGCTAATATAGTTATATTACATAATAACTCATATTATCAATCAACAATTGTATAACCTAGTATCATTACTGAGAAATCATTAACTATAATTTTATTAATTCATACTTTAACGAGATAACTGTAATTTACTTAATTTATTTTGCAACGAATCGTAAGATCATACCAAATCTATCTTAATAAGGTTTTATAAAAATAACATCAAAGAAAATTATATCCTAAATCTAAATATTCTATTATTGTATTTTATTATCTAACCATTGATAAAAAAGATCCCAAACTTCATAAAATTGTTTATCTTCTTGTTCTCTAATTTCAAATGTCAAGTTACTCATTTCAGCGCAATCCAATATTTTCTTGATAGTTTCTTCCTCTGACGGAATTTTCTCACTCTTCCAGTTTTTAGCAAATACAATCCTAGCCGCTGTTAATACATTTACAATCAAATACTTCAAATTTTTATTATATGTATCAGGTAAGATTCCCGATAAAAAAAAAAATCTCTGGTTTCAAGTCTATATGTTTCTTTATCGTTTTTTCCAACCGTATGCGAATTTTAGGAAATCCAGACATCTTAAAGTCGCCAAGTTCGAAAAACTCTGAGCTTAAGAGAGATGCAGGATGTAAATTGGAGAGAGGCGGGGAACTTGAGGAGAAAACAGGGTGGTTAACTCAGAGGCAGATGACATGGGCAGAGAATAAGGCCCTCGTTAATTAACAACTGCAACGTGCTAATTGTAAAGTGTTCTGTAAACAGTTAATCTCAGGAACTGTATAGGACCACACACACATTTCTACTGAGTTCATTAAGCTGGAGGGAAAGAAGGAAGGAAAGAAGGGAAGGAGGGAGAAAAAGGAGGGAGGGGAGGAAAGGAGGAAGGAAGGAAAGAGGGAGGAAGGGAAGGAGGAAAGAGGGAAGGAAGCAGGCAGGAAGGGAGGGAGAATGGAAAGGAGAAAAGGAAGGAATGAAGGCGGGAGGGAGGAAAATGTGGAAGAAGGGAAAAAGGAAGAAGAAAAGGAAGGAAGTGAGGAAAGGAAGGAAGGAGGAGAAAAGGAACAAAGGAAGGAAAAAGGGGAGGGAGGGAGGAAAGGAAGGAAAAAGGGAGGGAGGACAGAAAGAAAGAAAAGAAAGAAGGGAAGGGGTCCAACCTAAGGCACAGTACATTTTTTTAGGAGTTCATTTCCTCAAGACTTCATATTTTTTTTGTTTTAAATATAGAATATTCTTCTAGCCGATTAGAGCAAGAAAGCAAAACGGGGCCGAAAATATGACGATCACAGCGAAATCCCTTCTCTGCGAGCCAGACACCCTGAAGAGGGAACCCCGTGCCAGATCCAATTTTCGATATGGTCCATAAAGGAAGTTATTTAAACCAAAAAGCCTTTCTTTTCAATTCAGTAGGAGAAATTACTGTGCGTGTGTGTGTGTATAATATAATATATATATATGTTGAGTCCCAGCTCATCTCCTTTGGTTGCCCTGCATAGGAGAACGGAGCTAGAAAGCAGGTTAGCGGGGTGAGGAGGGAATGGGGACCTGGCAGTATATCCTTCCGCTGCCACGCCCACCAAGCCACGCCCACAGAACGGATAGTAAAAAAAAAATTGAATCCCAATGGACGGATGGATAAGAGAGAGATTGAGAGAGAGATGATGGATGGATAGGTGGATAGATAGGTAGATATAACTAGATGAAGAGAGAGATGATGGATGGATGATAGAGAGAGAGAGATGATTGATGGATGGGTGGATGGTTAGGCAGGTAGGTAGATATAACTAGATTGAGAGAGAGAGAGAGAGAGAGATGGATGATAGACAGATAGAGATGATGGATGGATAGGTAGGTAGGTAGGTAGATATAGTTAGATTAAGAAAGGTGATGGATGGATAGGGAGATAGATAGCTGTTTGGAAGGGAAGCTATGCACTCTTCCGTGACTCTATGGAATCAGTGGTGGGATTCAAACATTTTTACTACCGGTTCTGTGGGCGTGGCTTGATGGTGAAATGCACAATTTTATTCTGTACCCAAAAGACTGGCTTGGCTGCCTAACTCCCTTTCTTCCATTTCCCCCAACCCCTGGTGACACAATTTCTTACAACACGGATTTAAACACTCGCCGGTGCCTTCGAACAGAACATTTCTAGCCTTTGTGCCGGAAATGCAGTATTCCGTTATTTCTGAATGTTCACTTAAGCCGCGGTCACCAAACGGTGGTCCGCGAGAAAAGTTTGGTGGTCCACAGAAACATTATTTGCCTGCTGGGTACGTGCAACGAACATTTGTCTTGCTGCAGGGAGTTCATCCCTTCGGGGTCTTTTTGTGCAGGTCGGGGGGTGGGGTGGGGAAGAAATCTTGGGGGTCTGCTTCAGCCTCCTGGGGCAGGGCTTTGGACAAAGGCCGGAGGGAAGAGCACCTGGTGGCAAAGAACTGGAGGGCCTTATTGCAGTGATTGGCCTAAAGGCACCCAGCCAGCTTCCTTGCCTAAGACGGGACTAGAACTCACAAATTCCTGGTGATCGGCCCAAAGTCACCTAGCTGGGTGACTACGGTGGGACTAGAACTCACTGTCTCCTGGTGATTGACAGTCACCTTGCCAGCTTTCATGGCTTAAGGTGGGACTAGAACTCACTGTCTCCTAGTGATTGGCCCAAAGGCACCGCAGCCACTTTCCTTACCTAAGATGGGACTAGAACTCATCATTTCCTGGTGACTGGTTCAGTCACCTAGCTGGCTTACATGCCTAAGGTGGGACTAGAACTCGCTGTCTCCTGGTGATTGGCGCAAAATCACCCAACTGGCTTTCATGCCTAAGGCGGGACTAGAACTCCCCATCGCCCACTTTCTCGCTTGATGCCTTTAACCACTAGAACCGTTTCTCTTCCTTTAAAGAAACCAGGTTAACAGATATGGCAACTCCCCCCAAAAAACCCACATCACCAAGCTCTCCATGAGCAAGATTGCACAGGGTCAGCCAAGGCTAAGGTTACCTCAATACTCAAAAAAGGGTGAAAAGCCATATATTTTGACAGCCAGCGTAAGGATAATCAAGCAGAGCTGCTGGCCAATTTTTACACACACACACACACACAGAGCTCACCCACAATCTCAGTATTTCTACCTGCCCCCCCAAAGTCTATCAGTGTCACTGAATTAAACCCCCCTCTGTAACCGTCTGCCAGTCACAATTTCTCTAAAAAAAGCAAAACTGATTTTTTTTCTTTTAAGCAAGGCCCCTGTCGCGGCGACGCATCCATCACACACCCACTGCAGCTACCTCCGATAATCCAACTTTTGTTGCGAGACATTGCGTGGCGCTTTCTTTTATTCCCCTTTTCTCAGCCTTGAGGGGGAGGTGTGGGGGGGGGGAGGACAAGGCAGTTCGAAAACTGGACAATTTCAAAAGGCACCGTGTTTGTTCCCACCGAACTTTTGAGGAAAAAAAGTACAAAGTTGAGACCCGTTGCTGGACGCGATGGGGTGGCCCCACCAAGCCCTCTCTGCTCAGGTGGGCCTCGGCGCTCATCGCCCGCGGCGTTGCGAGACAAGTGTGCAAAGCCCCTCTTGTTCCTTCCACGTGAAAAGTCCTGGCTTTTGCCCCAACGTTCGTAAACACGCACAGCCCCGAAAGAGAGAAAAAGAAAACCAGCAGGGCCCCATACAGGACACTTGATGGTTTTCACAGCAAATTATCTTCTCGTTTAATCCCACTCCCTCCCCAAAAAGGCCTTTGGTGGCCACCCTGCAATAGTCAAACCGAAAAACCCGGCGTGAATTTTCTCAGCGAGATTCCCATTTATCTATTTATTTATCTATCTATTTATCTATCTATTTATCTATCTATTTATCTATTTACCTATTTATCTATTTATCAATCTATCCATCCATCCATCCATCCATGTATCTGGATCTATTACACGGAAAGCCGTCTGAAATCCAACCGATTTTCACCCGGATTGCTCTGGTGTCATTTTTTGGATTCGGGAGGGGTCCAAAAAAATAAAATCAGAAACCGCTCGTCCCGAGTCAGATATTATTATTTTTTTTTTTTTAAAGAAAGAGACTTCTTCCGAAGATGCTTTTAAGGGGGGGGGTAAAATAAAATATTAATGAGCCAACAGAAAAGAATCCGGCGCATTAGCAGGTTTAAAGACGAATAAACGGAAGGCCCAGATGTTGACAAAAATTAGGAAAATAGAAGATCAAAGAGAATTGATGAATAAAGCAGGATTTTAAGACAGAGGAGGTGGTAAAATAGCCGGGTACCACCATGATGACAAACGTGAGCTGCGAGTCATTTCAAAATAAGGAAGTAGGTGGGTGGGTGGAAAAAAGACTTGTTAAGTTGGGAGAAAACCCAACTGTCAATGTTGGCAAGAATTTCTGTGATAAAAACGAGCATCTCGCCTAGAAGCATGTTTTCGTTTCAGACAATACAGCGCTTGTTGTGACAACTTGACGTGCCATTTATACAGTGTGGCAGTCGGGAAACAAACCAACAAACCAACAAAAAATGAGTTAAATCTAAGGCTTGACAAAGATGCAAAGAGGAGAATTTTTTATTTTTTTTTAACCTGGTTGGAAATTATATTTTGCCCGCTGTTTGCTGTTGGTTCGGAGGGAAGAGAGGGTTTTGGTTGAGAAAATAGAAGATTTGGAATAGTTAGAAGGACATGACCTAAGATTTGGGTGGCGTGGATATTTGGGGTATGATGAAGTTAAGGTGGATTTTAAAAACTGTGAGATGTTGCCATATGGACAGTATGGAATATTTATAAATCTAAGGTTGTGAGTTTCGGCACAATAAAAACATTTTACAGGCAAGAAATAATAAGCGAACTGTATTGGAGATATTAGGTTTTTGTCAAAGGCAATGCCAAATAAAAGCAAGGGAAGAACTGCTGGCTGAGGGATAGATAAGGTTTTCAATGGTTCTCTTATTTACAATTATTATGTATTTATTAAGTTTATATGCTGCCCATCTCACTCTGCAAAGCGAGTCTGGGTGGGCTTACAGTTGGAAGGATAAGTATAAAAATATTACAAACACATTATTCTTAGAGTAGTGCAGGGTTCGAAATAGAATTGGGGACAAATGGTTTAAAAAAGGAATTGTTTAAAATGAATTTGGCTGAAATTTTGAAGCAGAAGAACTACCAGTGAAAGAAGTATGACAAAATGGGCTAAATATTCTGGTTATCACACAAATCGAATGATGGAAAAAAGGAAGCGGTTGAATAAATTTGAAATTTAGCTGATGTGCAAAGATGAGAAATAAAGAGAAATTTTATAAAATGAAGGAAAGTTAATCCTCAACTTACAACAGTTCATTTTAGGGACCGTTCAAAGTTACAAGGGCGCTAAAAAAAGGTGACTTGTGACCTTCTGGCATTTCACACTTAGACTGTTGCATCATCCCTATGGTCACGTGATCAAAATTCAGTTGCTTGGCAATTGACTCATATTTATGACGGTCGCAATGTCCCTGGGGGTCACGTGATCCCCTTTTGCGACCTTCCAACAAGCCAAGTCAGCGGGCAAGCCAGATTTACTTAACAACTGTGTTACTAACTTAATGACCGCAGTGATTCAATTAACAGGTTGTAAAATGGGGCAAACCTCACTTAACAAATATCTCGCTTAACAGCAGAAATTTTGGGCTCAGTTGTGTTCGTAAGTCAAGGGCCACCTGTACTGTTAATATACATCACCCAAAAAACTATCTAGAGGGTATAAAGACATTTCAAATTTATATTATAAATGTGAACAGGAAAAAGGGACATTTTAGCATGTTTGATGAAGATGTAAAAACAGCAAAAAAAAAAATCCCTTGGTTTTTTACATCCACTGATTCAGGGGAATTTAAAAGATTAACATACAATTGAGACCAGACGTTTTTCTTTCAGGATTGATGGATGAACAGTCGTGGGGTGGGAATCATGGAATGTTATTTTTATACCTGATAATTGAAACAAGATTATTGTATACATAAAATGGAAAAATATGACAATGTCTACAATGGAGAAATGAATAGAGAAGATGGAAAACTGAGATGACTAAATTGACTCATTTAATCAGGGGAAAAAAAAGATATTATCGATGTTTATTGTTGACTGGAAAACCTTCATGGATCTTTTTCCATAAAATAGAAAAAAAAATGAATTTATAATTTGTACCTTTGAGGATTAAGGCAGCATAGATTATAGACAGAAGAGAATCCCAGTTTTAACTCCAGAATAAGAAGTAAATTTATAATTGTATCTATAACTGTTGTCAAGATTGAAAGCTTATCTTTTTTTTCCTTCCTTTTCCTTTTCTTTCTTGCACATTTCTCGTCCATTTCTTTTTCTCCCTTTTTCTTATTTTAATTTGGATTGGTTTTTAATTTCCCATCTTAAAAATCTTTACCGGTATTAAAAAGTACATATTGAAGAAAAAGAAACCACGTTACAAGTGGGTAGCTGGGTTTGACTAGGGGATCAAAGGTTAATGAATGTGACCCAAAAAACATCCATCCATCCATCCATCCAATCTATCATCTCTGTCTGTCTATCTGTCTATCATATCTATCATCTCGCTATATCATGTTTCTATCATATTTATCCATCCATATCTATCTTTCTATCCATATCAATCTCTATTGTGTGTCTGTCTTGTCTGTCTATATCTTTATCTATCTATCTGTCTGTCTGTCTGTCTGTCTGTCTGTCTATCATATCTGTCTATCTAATCTATTGTCTGTCTGACTGACTATCTAATCTATCATTGTCTATGTATGTATCTATCATGTCTGTGTCTGTCTGTCTGTCTGTCTATCTGTCTGTCTATCTATCTATCTATCTATCTCTTCTTTAAATTTATTTGCTGCATACTATGTCAATTCTGGGCAGTTTACAATCAGATAAAACTGAAAAGAGATAATAAATACATTAAATAAATAAATAAATTTATCCTAATTATTCTCTTTCAATCAACAGAAAGACACTGGCTGTTTTTTCTGCTGCCCATTTATCCTGGCAATGGACAAACCTGATTATTAAAAATTTTTAAAAAATCATCTCCTGAAAAGCAAGATAGGGAACATTGAACCAAATTTCTTTAAAAAGCGGCAGGCTGCATCTTGGCAGTATAACGCTTCAATCTGGATTCCTCCTCTGAGAGGGACGGGTACGGCAGGGTGGATTGGATGACCTTTAGGTGGGGACCTTCCCTTGATACAATTCTAGAGCTAAAATTTCCCACTTCCTCCAGCAAATTTGAACACTTCCAAAAACCCCATCCCATTTTATGAAGCAAATAGGGGTGAAAAAAATAGGAAGTGATTGCCTTTGGCTCGAAAAAAAACCCCACTTTTCCAAGCACACGAAGGAAAAATAAAAAAGAGAGCTTACATTTAAGTTTTTATGCTAATACATTGTCCACATGGATCGGTCAACTAAATGGAAGCGCTTTCCTGGAAAATTGGGAAGCTTACTGTGTTTTTTGGGGGTGGGTGGGGGGGAAATGAATTGGTTTGGGGCCTCAAAACCTGATCTAAGCGGGGTGAACAGAAGCAAATTCCATTTATCTGTTAGAAATTGAACTGATAAATTAATAAAGTCCCAGGT